GCAGCTGCTCGACCTATCTCGGCACTGAGATTGTAAATCTCTTTTCGCTCGTAAGCGAGTAGCTCCGCGGACACTGTACGGTATGCAGAAGCAATGCGTAGTGCCCCTCTGCGCTGGACCGAAGACATTTGAGTCCGGTATTTTTTGACTTTCAATGCGTCGGCCCATATTTCTGCCCCGTACAGGAGCACCGATTGGACCACTGTCATCAGAGGCTGCCTGCGGCATGGCTTCGGGCCGCCCACGTTCGCCATCAGCCGGCTTAGAGCCACCGTGCTCTGCGCAGCTTTTTCACATACTCCATGGATGTGTTTCCAGAATGTGAGTTTGCTGTCAAGCTTCACCCCTAGGTATTTTGTAGACCTAGAAGTCGTCACGAGTTGAGGTCCGACCATCATATTTATAATTGTTGGGATCCGTTTTCTGGTGAGGAGCACGATCTCCGTTTTGGCTGTAGCCAATTGCAGACCGTGATCGCTCATCCATCCACTGACGTTGCGCATGACCTGGGTTAGCTTGAGCTGTGCTAGCTGGACGTTTCTTGCTGTTATGGCGGCGGCCACGTCGTCCGCGAAGGCGACAAGGAAGGCGCTCTCCGGCATTTCCGTGCGCAACAGACTGTCATACGTGGCGTTCCAGAGGTCAAGCGTATTTTGAGCAGACTCTCCATCATTTTGCCTGCTGTGTCTAGCATGCAGAGTGGCCGGAAGGATGAAGGAGAGTTTGGGTCCCCTTTGCCCTTGGGTATAAGCAATAGTCTCGCCTTCTTCCATTGGCTTGGGAAGACCCGGGCCCTAAGGCAGCTGAGGTACATGTTAAGCAGGATATAAGGGCTCGTTTTCGCTGCTAAGCTGATTGCTCACATAGCGCTTTCCAGCAGTTCCGTTTACTCTTCTGTATCTCGGCCACAAGTGCTTTCTTAGCACTTTTGTAAGCTGCTGCTCTGGTTGGCGCCTCAAGTGTGCCACGAGCGCGCGTTGCGAATCTCCGCATTCTAAGGCAGGCCCTACGCAGCTCAGCAATTCGATCATTCCACCAGTATACCTGCTTTTTACCTGACCATGCTCTCCTCTGTGGAATTGAGGCTTTGCATGCCCGGTGAATGCAGCACATGGTTTCTTCGACCAGCTTAGTACAAGACTCCCTGTTGTGGATCTCTCCCGTTGTGGGTGAAATACCTTGGGAACCTGCTAGGAGTGACGTATCGAACTTGCGAACATCGACCCTAGACGGGTTCCATCCTGGTTTCCTGCGAGGGATACTACGTTTTAGCCCTCGCGTTGTGTCAGTGACTTGGAAGGTGATGCAGTTGTGGTCGCTACCACTCAGGTCTTCCATCACCCTCCATCCGTCAGCCCTTCGAAGAAGGCTTTCTGAGACCAGGATTATATCACGGATAGAGTATCCAAAACCCGGCCTTCGATATGTAGGGGTCGATCCGGTGTTGAGGATGGGCAGGCCAATGCGGGCTGCCATTTCAAGGACCAGTCTTCCCCTGGTGTTTGTTTGGGGCATACCCCATTCCACGCCTCTTGCGTTGAAATCTCCAGCAACAATTATGTGGCCGGTTTTACCGCGCAATTCTTCTTCAAGGTCTTCGAGCTTTTCCCTGAAGACAAGGACTGTGTCGTTTGGAGACAGGTAGCAGCTCACCAGAGTGATTTGCGCCATTTTCATATAGACGTAGCAGCGTCCGACCCCGCTGCTTTCTGCGAGATGGTTGGGGTTAGCAATCCATATCGCAGCCGAGTCTGATTGGTCAACATGCCAGGTTTCCTTAGTTCTATAGGGTTCACTGATGATGTCAGCGTCTGCTCTTTGTTCAAGAACCAATTGGTCCAGCAGGTCATCAGCTACCCTACTGCTGTTCATATTGCCTTGTATAAATTTAATCATATTCTCCCAAGCTTTGTCTTAGCCTCAGCAAGGGCATCCCTGAAGGCATTGCTCGCTCCCGACCCGGGCAGGTTATTGGTATTTTTTTGTCCATCTCCTGCCGAGCACAGGTAGCAGCTTGAGCTTTCTTTACATGCAGAGGTTATGTGGCCCTGCTGACCACATTTCCTGCATGAACTGCTTCTGTCTGGGCCTTTGCATGCCGCCTTTTTGTGGCCATACCCCAGACAGCGGAAACACCTTTGGACATCCGCGCGCTCTCGGACGCGGCAGATAATCCCACCTACTCGCAGCTTCCCCTTTTCAATAAGAGTCCGGCATTATTATTATTATTATTACTATTATTATTATTATTATTATTATTATCATTATTATTATTATTATTATTATTATTATTATTATTCTGATTCCCATGTAAACAAAATTCTCTACTTTCTCGAAGTTAAACTTGTCAGCAGTGTCGCAGATACCAAGGCGGGAACGCGCAGACTGTTTGTTTGATGACAGGAGATACTTCGGCTCGTCTTCGTTTTCCAACAGACTCATTGGCTTTTCTTCCTTATCCAACATGGAAAAGGCAGAATGGGCTCGCGGTGTCTGTTCTCGTTTTTTGTGTTTTTTTGCTTTTTTAAAAACTACATTAAACTACCTACAATCTTAAGCATTTTTAAGGCATTATTTGGGAACGTATCAGACATAGGAGCTTTCAACCTTTTTTTTTAAGCGACGGGTGTAGCCGCTGGATAAACAATACATACAATACAGCAATAGTGAAAAATAATGATTGTTGTGAACGATACGGCCGCAAGCGAAAAAAGTCTTGTAACAAAGTTCAATAAAAGGAACCACTTCCGAAATCGAGAAACAGATGACTTTTCAAGAAGTAGAAGAGGACCAGAAAGTATTTCCTTACCTGAGATCCAAAAACGACATTTTTAACAATTTTAACAAACTTTAAAGTAGTTATGTTATACCTGATTTTACTCAACATGGTTTTACTTAAACCATGGCTTTACTTATATAGTTGTTCGGTTGATTTAAAATTAGTTCGCTGTTTTAAAAACTACATTAAATTAGCTGAAATTTGATGTATGACAATTTTGGAAAAACTGTCACTATTTGGAAAATCCTAACGAACAAATTTGAAATTTTAGGCCGTGTGGGTAACTTTCACGTTAGCTGTATTAAAAAACTGACTACGCCGTTCGAATTGGCGGCTTATTCTACATAAGGTTTGGTATCTTGTGTTTTTATCTTGGGCAAAGTGAATGTTTTTTCGTATAAAAATATAAACCTATGGTAAAACAGTCTTTTAAATTGCAGATTTCGCAGTAGCTCATTCAGTTTTCGCAATATTGATTTTTTTTTTCATTTTGTTAGGTTCCTAGCGCCCTAGTTTCCTATTCTGCTGCCAGAGGAAGGATCTGAAATACTTTAGCAAAATAAGGCATCTAGTGGACAGCCATCAAATCTCTTTCTTAGAAGTATATGGGTTTCAAATGCATCTCGCCCTCTTTTCATGGCAAATAGTTTATATTGTATCTAAAATACATACAGAGAAATGTAGTAAGAAAAATTCAGTTTGTGTGGGATGTGCCAATCCCCATTTTCAATTTCATTTTTCATTTCATTTCATTTATTTCGGTTCAGGCATTAGTGCAATAAGATTCAATCTTTTATAGTACAACAATGATAAAAGTAAAGATAATATTTATTTATTTATATATTGCAAATTAAAATTCTAAAATATATACAAACGCATATGACACATTCAATTAAACAGAAAATAACACGGATACATAAAACTTATAACATATATACAAACATTATGGTATGTTAACAAAGCTCAAAAAATCACTTAATTATATATTATTGCAAATATGTAGATGGTTCATCAATTTTTAGCGAAATAATTATAAAGAGTATTTATGAAGTTGCTTCTGTTGATTTTGCTCCTAATGGTATTGACCCTAATTTTCTACCTCGATTATGGAATTAATTTTATATGTACATCTCGATGCAAAGTTACAGCACTGTACCATAAATATTTCCAGAGATATGAATGTACGTAATAGTATAAAAAATTCAGTTTGTATGGGAGGTGCCATGCCTCCTTTTTCAATTACCTTTATTTTTCTCCATGAGTATGGGACTGGTTTCTTATATCTCCTTACTAGGTTCTAGTACTCTCCATTTGTATGGAATCTGCCACACGCCCTTGATATATCCAAATTATTTGTATCCTATGGCCAGCAAGGGAAAGCCTGCTGTAGGTGTACTAAATTTAGTTAAGATTCGTCATGCGGTTTAGGACGCAACTGCGGACATATATAATTTGTGGCGCGAGCTAAAAAAGTCGACCGGGAAAAAGGCGCATAAAAAACTTCAGCGGAGAAAGACTTTTAACGTAGTTGACGGCGAAGACGGACGCGTAAACTTATTTACATGATCAACTATGTTTGCGGTATGTAAATTCCCCAAAGAGTTTTTGGGGAATGATGCTGAAGTCACAGTCCTTGGCCAAGTATAAATCGATGATTACGCGTCTTTCTTCGCCGAAGTTTTTCTTAAGCGCCTTTTTTCGTAAATTTTTTTTATGCGTCTTTTTTCGCCGTCGAAACACTAGCGCGCCTTTATTCGTGTCTAGTGCCGTTATGTACTCGTAAGTGCATAGAATAATGCGTTATTTTACGTTTTTTAATATTTCTAACAAGAACGTAGCAAACATTTATTTATCCTAGCATTTTTAAACATTAATTTCGCACAGTTTGTTTTTTAGCTATTGCGAAAATCAATACAATTACTAACTTTTTTTGCGAGTCAGCATAATATCATGTTCTGACCGACATCGAAAATATTTTTTGGTTGCTAAAACTGTCTTTCGACCTAAAACACTAACAGCCGGTGTGAACAGCCTTCAGCCAACAATCCCAAAACTCGTTTTCAAAGTGTTTTCGTTGTCGGTCAGAACATGGTATAATGAACAAATTTCTACGCATCTTCCACTACAAATTCAAAGTTAAACAATTTTACGCAAACTGCTATTGCATTGACTTTGCTTTAATTTATGAAAAATTTACTACCATTTCCCTTGAATATTTTAGGTTGCTGAGTGTCACTTAGAAGGTCGTGAAGTCATGATGGTGACAAGTGGCGCAGTGGCCTTTGGCAGTCAAAAATTAGCACAGGAATTGCTTATGTCACTTTCAATGCGTGAAACCCTGTCACCAAAAGATCCTACGCGCGCAGTTAGTAAACACAAACAGTTTGGTAAATAAGTATCTGTTTTTATTAAATTAATTTTACAGGAGCAGGGAACGCTGCTTGAACCGAGAGCTGCAGCTGCTGTGGGTCAATCTGGTCTCATGTCGCTGTACGACGCTATGTTTGCTCAGTATGGCGTGAAAATTGCTCAGGTATGTGTACATACCAATTAAATTGCTAATTATTTCGATTAGTACATATGTATATAATTCACAAATTTTCGGCTATAGGTTCTCGTAACTAAACCGGATTTCTACAACGAGGAAACACGGAATAACCTATTTTGTACACTTTCCGAACTGATTAGCCTTAATATTGTTCCGATTATAAACACCAACGACGCTGTTTCGCCACCAATGTTCTTAAAAGATGACGATCTACCAGTTGGTTCGAAGAAGGTAATTGGTTCTAAGAAATAGGGATAATTGAAGCTAAACTTTGTGTTTTTAGCAACATGTACTAATATTTTATTAGAAGTCCACTAAATATGTATGCCGTCACCTGAAATGCAAAAAGACGTAACAAACATCATCGCTGAAATGCAAAAAGTCATAACTAATAAAAAATTCAAATTTTACTTTTTGATTTATATGATGGATTTCATAAAGTTACAACTACCCACATCATTTTATGAAAAAAATAAAATAAAAATATCAGTCACGACCTTTTCCATTTCAGTTGCGATGTTGTTACGTTTTTTTGCATTTCAGGTGACGATGTATGTACATTAATATAGGCTGACCTCCAAAACGTCAATTGCATTGCATACGTACAAAGTTTAAAGTTCCATAACGCCGAACCACAATTAGTTAACAATGTATACTTTTCCAAAACGCATCCGAAATGTTATCGAAACGCATCGCTAGAGTAATCAGCGCATCAGAAACAAAGTAGATGCTTCGTTTGTTTTTGGTAACCATTGGTGTTTTAAAAATGGAAAATTCTGAAATGGTAATCATTGTTTTATTAAACATTCAAAATATGCAATATATATGGTTGCAATGCAGCAGAACAGTGTCCAAACATTGTATTGGTACGTTTTGGAAGTCAGCCATACAATAGAGGCCAATAGCACAACAAATACATACATGTATTGGTCCTTAGTATTTAGTTTTCCTTTTTTTTATTTAATACTAGCCAATGCCCGCTTACTTCGCGGCGCCTAATAAGAACTTTTCGTTGGCCAATGCAAAAGAGCGTTTAAAAGCAAAAATTTACTGCAATGTTACATTTTTGGTTTAAGGTGAAACCACTAAAGCGCAATATCTTCCTCGCACATAGGCCAATAATAGTAACGCCGTGATACCATATGGAATACGAATCCCTTTCGGTGTCATGAGCCTTACCGATGTTCTTAACCTGCAGTGAAATCCCAAACTAGTCAGGAATAATACTAGTTTACAACTAGAATTTCCTGACAGAAACCAAACTAGTTCGAAAATTACCAGACTTGTACCAAGTACAATAGTGCGGATCGGTCCCCATACAAAAAAAAAAGTTTTTCCAGTCCACCCCTAGGATTAAAGATATTTTGAAGGCGATCCCAAAAAAAATTTTTTTTTTTTGCCACGCCCCCCCGATGGGTTATTTACTTTTTTTGACACTACGTCGCCATTTTAAGTCCGATTTTAATGAGCCGTACACCGTTGTTCATGGCTTGGAAGCCGCCACAATTCTTACCTTAAACATTTTTTACTCTGAGTTCAAAAGGCCTTTTCGACAGACTAAAAAAAATTGGAATTTAGGTATGATATGAAACGAGATACCGACAGTCACTACTAGAATTTGAACTCGGAGTAAAAAATGATTAAGCTAAGAATTGTGGCGGCTTCCAAGCCATGAACAACGGTGTACAGCTCATTAAAATCGGACTTAAAATGGCGACGTAGTGTCAAAAAAAGTAAATAGCCCATCGGGGGGGCGTGGCAAAAAAAAAAATAAATTTTTTTTGCGATCCACCCTAAAGTACAAACCAATTTATACATGCCCTGTTTTATTTGACTTCGACAGTTTAATACTATAGAGTACACCAAATATTATAACTTTTATTTGGGTATGTATATTGATAACCGTTAATTGCTTAAAAAATAATTCAATTAATTCGTTAACTTTAATTACATCATTATTTTGTTATTTTTGAAAACTTTCAATTATTTTTGACTTTCTTTAATCTATATATTATTCTGAAACAAGGCGCTTATTCCCAGCGATCTACAAATCGTACAGAGACATATTATATATCAAATTAAAGTGCCCGATCTGAAACTTTGCACAAACTTTTCAGATTTAAGATTCATTGAGCCATTTTCGAAATATTTGCGTCGAAAGATTTTAAAATTTTTACATTGAGCAAAGCATTGCTACGTTCATTTCGAGAGGCAGCGCCTCAGCGGGACATATGAGAAAGGAAAATTGTTCCATTTATTCGCTTTCGTCTCTGCTTTTGTTTCATATCGATCAAAGCATTGCTACGTTCGTGTGCATGTAGGCAGCGATGCAGCGGAAGATCTGCAAAGATAATGTTCCCTTCGTCTCTGTACATACACAAAATTGTTGCATATACACACATTCATTCATACACATTTGTTAAGGCACAAGTGCCAAACTATCAACAACAATATTGCTTCGTTCGTGTTCATATACGCAGCGCTACAGCGGGACATAGAATGAAAAATTTTTCCATTTATTCGTTTTCGTCTCTGTTTTTGTTTCATGTCGAGCAAAGCATTGCTACGTTCATATGCATGTAGGCAGCGATACAGCCGAAGATCTGAAAAAGATGATGATTTTGGCTTTGTACATACACCCATATGTGCATCTTTCATGGTTTCTTTTAACGTTTTTTTCTAACGAGAAATATGGATCTATATTACAAACATATACATGTCTTTCTCCCTTTTCTATAAGTTTTGATTGAAAGGTAGTAAAGAAATTCCAACGATAGGAATAACAGTGGCTCTAAAACTGCAAATGGGCACAAACATACATAAGTACTTTACGTTACAGTTATTTGCGAGCTCTGGTATGTATGTATGTACATATGTGTCAAGGCAAAAATGCGAAAACTATCGGCAACAATATTTGTTTTGTTCTGTTCGTGCTATTTGCAACAAGCAATTTTAGAAATTTTGATATACTAAACCATAAAAGATACAATAAACGTTTATAAAATGTCAGGTGAAAGGTGTATAAGGCGAAAGCGAAGTTTAACAAGTCGAAGAGAAGAGGTGACTTTTATTTAAAAAAATTGAACTTTTAGAGCCGCAGACACGTATCTTCTATGGCAAGTTCTTTCAAAGCAGCCTTAAACCCTGTAGTTCTTCCGGAATATAGTTCACTTGGGGGCGTAACAAGTACATGCTTGCAGTGCAAAGCAAAACATTTCAGCAGTGAAAAGGAAAGTCTATACCTTTTATTGTTTCATAACTTATAGTCTTAACACGTATTTGAAATTGCTACATTTAGGTAAGAAATGGCTTTGCAACATGTTGTCACGCTGGAAAAGTCAAATTTCCAGCATTACCTGTACCTGAGTTTTTAAAATCTGTGTTTGAAAACGATTTGAGCTCTTGGCGCCGATATTACTTGGAGCACATACGGCAACTAAACAGTTCGTTTGCTTTTGCATTATTCGAAGTGAAAATTGCAGAGCCAACAGGACGTGGACCATATTGCTTCCGAATACATGGATCCATATATCATAGGGTGGGTCCATTGCATGCAGATAATCCCGCCGAATCATCCTACGCTCAGCTGTATATTCTTGACACGGATTAAGCAATTGATATTAGGGCGCAACACAACTCAAGTTGCGACAAGTCTTTACTGAAAGAAATTCATGAAATGCTTTCGAACATTAACCCCTTGGCCCGTGAGTATAAGCATATGGCAGGTAGAACGTGAAGAAGAGCAGAGAGCAAGAGAAGAAAATCGAGGACGGCATCAGGTTAGCATGCTACTTTTTAACAGCGTTAGTGACCGACGTTATAACTTGCCAAACTGGTCCGAAATTGCGGCGGTTTTTACAACGGAAGATGGTGAGCCACCTGCAAGTCGAAATTTGCGAATATTTCCGCGTAACTCTGACATGCGGAACTTATCATTTGTGTCAACGCTACACAGATTATGTGATCCTTTAGTTTATCCCCTTTTGTTTCCATATGGCGAGCCTGGATATGATGAAACTCTCCTGCATGAACAAGATCAACGAACGGAGCATAGATTTAAATTAACACAACTGCAGTTTGTTTCTTATCGCATGGCGATTAGAGAAGGTTTTAGTTTGCTTCGTGTCTCAGGTAAACTTTGGCAACAGTATTTGGTTGACCAATACGTCAGAATTGAAGGAGCACGTCTGGCCTTTCTGTGCACCCATCAGAAAGAACTACGTGTTGAAACATATGCTGGTTTGCATGATTATTTAATACGTAGATCCAATATTGGAAATGTGCGTCCTGGCCGTATAGTTGTTCTGCCTTCAGGTTTTGTTGGCTCCCCTCGCAACATGAACATGAATTACCAAGATGCCATGGCTATTGTGAGAAAACATGGAAACCGTCTCTTTTCATAACGTTCACATGTAATCCCAAATGGCCAGAAGTCGTTCAAAATATAGAAAGATACCAAGGATCGGAAATGCGTCCAGAGCTGATAGCCCGTGTTTTTAAACAGAAACTCAAAGAGATTATGAAAGATATTTCACAAAAGCATGTGTTTGGGAAAGTAAAATACTACCTATATATCATTGAATTTCAGAAGAGGGGTTTACCTCATGCCCACATATTGGTAGCCCTTCATGAGGAGGATGTTATTCGTGAGCCTTCTGAAATTGACCTGGTTGTTTGCGCTGAGATTCCTAATAAGGAGACAGAGCTTGAGCTGTATGAAATTGTGTCGAAATGTATGATTCATAGCCCGTGCGGCATACTTAATCCATCATCGCCCTGCATGACTGCTGATACTGGAATTTGCTCAAAAAAGTATCCCAAATCTTTTCAAATTAATACGCTTTCAAATGTAAACGTCTATCCCCAATATCGTCGCCGCAATGATGGAAATAAAATAGTTGTTCGTGTCAGTCAAAATTCAGTTGAATTAGACAACCGATGGGTAGTCCCCTACAGTAAATATCTGACCAAAAAATACAATGCTCATATTAATGTAGAAACATGTTCATCTATAAAGAGCGTAAAATATCTTCACAAATATATTTACAAAGGCTATGATTGCGCAACCGTTCAAATTATCGAACAACAAATTGATCGTGCGGTTTTTTATGATGAAATATCTACATTTGTAGATGATCGATATGTTAGCGCTCCTGAAGCCTGCTGGAGGCTTTTAGAGTTTCCCATGCAAGAAAAATCCCACACGGTGAAAACACTTGCAGTTCACTTGC